CCGCCGCCCCGCCCGGCAGGCACCTGGAGGTAGACGGCCATCTGGGGCTCCTCCATGGACTGGATGGCCGACTCGACCAGCTTGGAGGAGACCTCGAGGTGGTCCCCGTACTGGCGGATGAGCCCCCGCACCCGCTGGAGCTTCTCCTCCTGCTCGCGCCCGATCTCCTGCAGCAGCTCCTTCTTGCGCTCCTCCAGGATGCTGTACAGGGAGTCGAAGCGCAGGCAAAGGTGCTGCTTCTGCCGCCGCGCGTTGTCCTGCAAGGGGGGGAGGGAGGGAGGGAGGGGGAAGGACCCCCAAGGGTTGCGGGGGTGATTCCGAGCCCGAGCCCTCCCCTTTCAGGACAAACCAGGGAGGAGGGTGGCTGGTGGCCCAGGGAACCACCTCCAGCCCTTGGGATGCCTGGCAGACACCCCCCCGCCGCCCACCCACCCCAGGCTGAGCCAGAGACAGAGGGGAGTCCCCAACCCTAAGTTCCCTCGCCTCACCTCGATGGTTTTGCAGATCTCCTCCATCTGGGTGATGATGGCCTGGATGCGGTCGTTCCCTGCCACCAACATGGCAATGCCATCACTCAACTCCCCCTGTGCACAGAGAGAGAGATGGAGAGAGAGAGAGAGACAAGATGTGGGGGGGGGGCTGGAGGCGCAGGAAGAACGGTGGCCGAGGCTCAGGGGGGCTTCCCCACTGGGACTCCTCGTGGCCCCTGGGCTCTTCAAAGCACTGCCCCGTTCCTGGGGTCACTCTCTCCAGAACCCACCAGGCGGCCCAGCTGCACCTGAGACTTGGGCATCAGCAGGCAGGTCAGACATGGAAGGGGAAACCATCCCAGTGGTCAGGGGTGGGGGTGGGGGTCACCGCCCCCTCCAAGAGACATAGGGCAGAGGGCCCAGGAAGTCACCCGGCTGCCCTGGCAGTACCTTCTGCCGCTTGTAGATATTGGACAAGGGGGCCACCTCACAGTCCTTGTGGGCCCCAAAGACTTTGCACATGGAGCAGGTGGGTGTCTCGCAGGTCAAGCAGTAGATGTTGATCTTCTCATCCTCGTGCTCCTCACACAGCAGCTGCTGCTGCTGCTCCGTCTTGGTGTGCAGAGGTCTGGAGGCCCACAGGGAGGACGAGAAGGGAGGGAGGGAGAGGGGATGAGTCCACACACGGGCTGCTTTGAATGGTTTCTGGATAGGGTGGGGGCCAGGATTCACACACACACACACACACACACACACTGGCCACCACAGTCATATAAAGCCATTGTGAAGCCGGACCCCTCCCTCACATGTCCAAAGATGCTTAGAGCACCCAAAATGAACCAACAAACAAAGTAAACCCTTTAATATTTATTTTGGAGGTTACAGCCTCACATCTGTCACTTACAGATCCCAAAAGGTATTGGCCTGGACCCCCCCCAAGCCCTGCCTGGAAGCTCCCGCCCAGCCCAGATCTGGAGAGTGGGGGAACCCACCCTTTGGACCCCCTGGCCTTGGCTTCCTCCTGCCTGTCACCAGGCAGATCTCCTCCCCAGGGCCCCGTCTGGCAGCCTCCCTTCTCTTTCCTGGCTCTGTGGCTCCTCTCCCCAGCTCCCTCCCTCCAAAGGCACAGGTTTCTCCAGTCAGAAGCAGGCCGGTGGGGGTGGGGGGTGGGGTTTTCCTGTCTTAAGGGTTTGTATTCACTGCTTCTACCTGCTTTAATGGGGGATGAACAGCCATGGGGGGGGGGAGACTGCGAGGGTGCACAGCCCTTAGAGTGCTGCTGCTAATGCTGCTGCTGCTGCTGAGAGGAACCTCTTCTGTTCTCTCACCTTGTGAACATTCCCCTATAGTCAAAAAGGCTAGATTTGCACAGTAAAAACCACTTTGAACCACAACCCCCCTCCTCCCAGCCCACTGAGCTCAAAGAAGCTGGTCTAAATAAACTTTTCTTCCTCCACTCTTCAAAAATGGAGTCCAGAAAAGAGAGGTTACTGATCGGTCACTGGTTCTTTGAGGGGTCATCTGAGAATTTACATACTTGGGTTTTAGAGTGCTTGCACAGAGACTCTCGGAAACTTCTAGAGCTTTGACATGTGTCCATCAGGACCCCCGTGCCTCACCCATGGCACAGAGTGCCTCAGTTCCGAAGGACAGCCGGCACTGCCGAGCATGCAGGAAAAAAGGAAAGGGGTGACGGACGGAAGGGAGGACGGGCAGGACGTGTGGATTCACAGAGGACCCCTCGAAGAACCAGAATGGCAGGTAAGTAAACTTTCAGAAACCAGCATAGCTCTGTAGCTGAGGTGCTGCTGCTGCTGCAGCGGCAAAAAAAAGGAACTGAGGCACTCTGTGCCCCGGGGGGGGGGGCTGAGCACAACCAGAGCGAGGTCCTAGCGCACATGCGTAAAAGCTCTAGCAATTTCTGAGAGTCTCTGCACAAGCGCACTGAGACCCATCTGTGTGCATTTGCTGAGACTACGAAGAAGGAGAAGCCCTACGCTTTACTGCCCAGTTATTCTCTCTCTCTCTCTCTCTCATTTTTATTTCGCCCAGTTGTTCTCTACGTAGAATGGTATGAGGACCTTTTTTTTTGCAAGCTTGTGGTTTATTTGAAGTAACTGCAAAAGAACCCTGAAGAAGAAGCCTGCAGGAGCCGCGAAGAGAAGATAGTTTAGACCCCGGACATCTTGTAAATTCAGTTTTTGATTCTCTTATTAATTCAATTTGTGGGTAAAGCAGGGCAAAGGAAATCTGGAATCTTAAAAGAAGAAGAAGAAGAAGAAGAAGCAGCAGCAGCAGCAGCAGCAGCAGCAGCTTATTAGAGAATGGATGCTTTTAAAATCAGACAAGGAATAAGCCATTACTGATTATATCAATAGAGATACCAAGATATCTCAACAAAAGTTAAATGTTTTGGCGTTGATTGTGGTGAAACAATTCTTAGTTATGTACTTTTGTAGGATCTGATAGAGCCGTATTTGGAAGGAGTCTGCATATTATCCTGTGTTATTGTAGGAAGATTAAATTGAACTGGAGAGTCTAATAGCAAAGCTAAGAAACTGAAATTGCCAGAAATGACAATAAAGTACAGTAAGAATGTGCCAAGAGTGCCAAGTAATTCAGCAAAGATGACCCTAGGTGGCGCCAGAGAGGCTGGAAATGCCGAAGCCCTGGGAATCCTGCCAGAGGATCAGGAGCAAACACAGGGATGCAGAAAAACAGGAAATTCAACACACAGGGACAAACCACATTTAAATTTAAAGGGATCTGGAGAGAGAGAGAGAGAGAGAAATCACAGGGAAATCCGCAGCCTTTTGTTCTCGAGAGCAGGATGTAAAAGATTCCAAACCATGCTGCAAGGATGCTGGACAACATGGCCTTGAGGGGCCTGGGACCACCCCCTCAGGCACATACCACCATTTTTGGACCCATGTCCACATTCTTTGTGCACTATCCATGATGGAGTTGTGTTAAGCCTGAAGAAGTGGATTTTCCCCCATGAAAGCATGCAGTTGGTATGATTTTTCAGTGGTCCAGTAAAAAGTATTACCCACCTTTAAATCCAGTGGGGAAGTGCTAACTGTAGAGAGCAAAGGAACAGCCTTATTGCCAGAAAATATGACTGTGAATGCAATGATTTTCATTGCCTTTATACTCCAGATTTGAGTATAACTATTGTACAGGAGGCAACAACTAAAACCAACCCAAAGAAAAGGAAAGGCAAGAAAGCAAAGTGGCTGTCCAATGAGGCCTTACAAATAGCAGAGAAGAAAAGGGAAACAAAATGCAAGGGAGATAGAGAAAATTACAGAAAATGGAAGGCAGACTTCCAAAGAATAGCAAGGAGAGACAAGAGGGCCTTCTTAAATGAACAGTGCAAGAAATAGAGGAAAATAATAGAAAGGGGAAAACCAGAGATCTGTTCAAGAAAATTGGAGGTTTTAAAAGAACATTTTGTGCAAAGATGGACATGACAAAGGACAAAAATGGCAGGGATCTCGTAGCAGAAGACATCAAGAAGAGGTGGCAAGAATACACGGAGGAATTATACTAGAACGATCTGAATGTCCTGGACAACCCAGATACTGTGGTTTCTGACCTTGAGCGAGACAACCTGGAGAGTGAAGTCAAGTGGGCTTTAGACAGCATGGCTAACAAGGAGGCCAGTGGAGGTGATGGCATTCCAGTTGAACTATTTAAAATCCTAAAAGGTGACATTGTTAAGGTGCTTCACTCAATATTCCAGCATGTTTGGAAAACTCTGCAGTGGCCAGAGGATTGGAAAAGATCAGGCTACATCCCAATCCCAAAGAAAGGCAGTGCCAAAGAATCCTCCAACTATTGTACAATTGCACTCATTTCACATGCTAGCAAGGTTATGCTCAAAATCCTACAAGGTAGGCTTCAGCAGTATGTGGACCGAGAACTCCCAGAAGTCCAAGCTGGATTTCGAACGGGCAGAGGAGCTAGAGACCAAATTGCTAACATGCGCTGGATTATGGAGAAAGCCAGAGAGTTCCAGAGAAACATCTACTTCTGCTTCATTGACTATGCAAAAGCCTTTGACTGTGTGGACCACAGCAAACTATGGCAAGTCATTAAAGAAATGGGAGTGCCTGACCATCTTATCTATCTCCTGAGAAATCTATATGTGGGACAGGAAGCAACAGTTAGAACTGGATATGAAACAACTGATTGGTTCAAAATTGGGAAAGGAGTACGACAAGGCTGTATATTGTCCCCAGTTTATTTAATTTATATGCAGAATACATCATGCGGAAGACTGGACTGGAGGAATCCCAAGGCGGAATTAAGATTGCCGGAAGAAATATCAACAACCTCCGATATGCATCCCTCCGGACCAGCCAGCTGCCTGCCCACCTGCCGTCCTCTCCGGCCGCCATGGCCCCACATCACTTAGTGGTGGCGGCAGCACCTCCTTCCTGGCCCAAATTAAGTGCACCCAGCATACAAGATGACCCCCCCACTTGGAGGCATGTTTTTGGGGCCAAAAAAGTCATCTTGTACGCTGGCAAATACGGTAATTAATATAATTTGATAAACACAATTAGAAAATGCTGGCTGGATAACTCAGTGGCTTAGTTATCTGGCTTCAGAGCCAGAGGTTAGAAGTTTGACTCCCCACTGTGCCTCCTGCAAGTAGAGCCAGCCGGTGTGGCCTTCGGCAACCTGCACAGTCCAAGAGTGCCCACGAAAGAAGGGAATGTTCAACCATCTCCGAGTACTCTTTATCTGGAAAATCCTGAAAAGCGTCACCATAAGTCAGAATCAACTTCATGGCGAGGCTCCAGTACTTTGGCCATCTCATAAGAAGACTCCTTGGAAAAGACCTTGATGTTGGGAAAGTTTAAAGCCAAGAGGAGAAGGAGACGACAGAGGATGAGATCGATGGACAGGGTCAAACATCAATTTGACCCAACTCCAGGAGGCAGTGGAAGACAGGAGGGCCTGGTGTGCTCTGGTCCGTGGGGTCACAAAGAGTCGGGCACAACTAAACAACAACAACAATCTATACTAACATGTTTTCTCTGTCAGGAAAAAAAAGTGAAGCAAGCTTCCAGAACAGAATTTGATGATGAAGATTGTATTATGTGGTGTCCAAACGGAGACAAACCTCTGTATGACAATAGTTAACCCTTTGTCTCCATCCGGTTCACCATCTGGTGAGGGGGGGGCGAGAGAAGATGCAGGTGCTAAAGGTTGAGCAGTTGCACGCCAGTGGGCCCGCTGCTGATGAATCAGCCTGGCATGATTTCAGAAAGACACAGAAACAGTGGGGACCAGTGAGCCTGATCCTGGGCTTGTTGGGCTCTCAAAAAGCTCCACCCTTGCTTTCTTAAGTCTCTCTCTTCCTTTCTGCATCCTTGATTCTTTTTATTTTGAATTCTTTAGCTCCTTGTCTGGCAGCCTTTCACCAAGCGCTTCAGCCTTGAGTGAGCGCTTCCCAGTTGACATGAGAGAAAGGCAGCCTATACATAAATGATGCAAAGTAAATAAAAGGCTCCGTGTTAATTTTGGTCTTCAGTGTATTCTTGAATAGTTTCTTTGGTCTGCCATGCCCCTGAGCACCTGCAACAAGCTCTCCATAGAAGGCACGTGGCCATCCTGCATGACGTGGCCATCTGACCCAAGTGGTTGTTTCAAGATTGCCAAAATGCTTGTGATCTTTGTTTACGTCAAGAATTTAGGGACTGTATCCTGCTGTTTGATGCTGAGAATTTTCCAAAGACAGGTAAGATGAAAGAGATGGGGCTTCCGTATGTAGTATAAAGTAAAGCAGAGAGCACAGAGCAGTGCTTCACAGAAAGACTGATTCCACATCAATTCCAACACAGAGGACTGCCCTCTCCTGAAGGCAATGCTGGCTTTAGAGTTTCATGAGGCCACTTCATGGTCAAGGAGAACACACTGGGAGAGGATGCTGCTGACAAGAAGCACTGCAGAAAAGGTGTGTTTGTATACCTTCAGGACTGGTGCTTCATAAAATATAACTGGAGCAGGTTGGTCTATCACCACCGTCTTACTAGGATTGACCCTCAGGCCAAAACTGTTACAAGCAGAGAAAGACCGTCCATGATTTCTGTGTGTATCTAGAAGAGTGGCTGCAGTGAGAATGAAATCATCCGGTATACAAGAGCCTTCACTCTGTGCAAAAGAAGATTTCAGTTACTGCCTGCCAAGGCCTCAGATTGAACCACTTTCCATATTGAAGGTCGACACCAGTATTTTCCTCCCTGCAAGCAGCTCAGAATACGGTGGAAAACAGAAGGCTAGAAAAAAATGTCAGCGCAGAAATACAGCCTTGTTTTACACCGTTTGTAAGGGGGAAAGGTTGTTGAGGATGACATGATCTTGCGTTGAGAATCCAAAGCTTTGTCATGGAATTCTTGAAGGGTATATGTGGATTTCTCAGGAGCTCAGCATGGTTTCAGGATTTCCTATTGACCTTCTCCATGTAATAACGTATCAAAAGCTTCAGCCCAACCCCTGAACATGATGTGGAGGCTGGCTGGCTGGCTGCTCTCGGCACTTTGGCGTGTGGCTGTCCAATGTCCACAGTTCCTCTTCCGGCCCTTCTGGCAGGGGGCGTCTCTCTCTGAAGCAATTCAGAAGGCTTCTTGCCAGAATTTTCCCAGCAGTATTCACAAAAGAGATGCCTTGGTGCCTGTCAGAAAGCCTGGTGGTTGCCTTTACTTTTTATCAAGGTGGTCTGTAGGTTCTGCATTTCTGTAAATGTGGTTCTGTATGGCTTAGTGAAAACAGACTTAGGTGCCATCCTGTGTTACTTCCCAAGGCAGCGCAAATGAACCACCACCACCACCACCAAAAGCAAAAGCAAAGTGTGCTGTTTCTATATTGCCCCATAGTGCTTCAAGCACTCTCTGGGTGGTTTACAATTTAATTATACAGGTTACATATTGCAACAATGTGTAGCAACAGATTAGAATAGATTAGGCAACCTTCAGTCTTGAGAGACTATGGTAAAGTGCTCTGAATGGAGGTCTTGGAACAGCATCTAGTGTGGCTGAAAAGGCCAATTTGAGAGTGACAATCCCTTCCACACTGAAGACAAATCCAATCTGTCCCCTGTCCAGCTCCCTGGCCTTGCTGCTTTCGAGACTGCTTCTTTGCCTCGGCCTGCTGGACAAGGGACTCTTCAAATTGGGAGAGGCCGTGATGTACTGCCTGCCTCCAGGCTGAACGCTCAGAGGTCAAGGTTTCCCATCGGTTGAGGTCCATTCCTAAGGCCTTCAGATCCCGCTTGCAGATCTCTTTGTATCGCAGCTGTGGTCTCCCTCTGGGGTGATTTCCCTGCACTAATTCTCCATCCAGGAGATCTTTGGGAATCCGACCCTCAGCCATTCTCACGACATGCTCAAGCCAACAGATGCCTTCACAAAAACGGCTTCAAGTCTCTTCCCAGGACATTGGGACATGAGTACAGGCACATATATCTTCATTTAGTTACGTGTAAGAGGAGTAAACTCGGAATCATGCCCAGAACCAGAAGTGGCCAAATTGGGCTTCGAAAGAAGGGAATCGAGAGAGACTTCGCCATCAGTCCAAGGAAAAGCCACGCAGCGCCCTCTAGCGTTGACTCATGATGATAAACTTTGTTTCCAACGGTAGGAAGCAAATGGAGATAATTTTGTCAGGTTTCCAGGGGATTTCTCAGCTTACACCACGATCTACTGGATATGTAGACAAGGGCGATGCTATTGCAAAACTGAAGGAGTGCCTTACCAGAGAGAGGAATAAATCTGAAAACAAGCTTAAGGTGCTTCAGATAATGGTGGTGAATGTGTAAAGAGGTAAATGGAAAGCTTTCCCCAGAAGTTGCAAATGATGGCACGCTGGAAAAATGTATGGTATCCCCCACAACAAAACCATGTGGCAGAAAAGAAAGGGCATGACTGCAGGCAAGCAGGCACAGACAGGGCTTTCTCTTCAGGCCAGCTTTCTGCCTGCCTGCCTGCCTGCCTGCCTGCCTGCCTGCCTGCCTGCCTGCCTGCGTGGGGTTTTAAATGGATGGTTAGGCCTTCCTGCTTTGAATGTGTTTTGGTGTTGCTTATGTTTTCTTTTTTGTATGGTATTTGTATATGTTTCGTCCTTTTAAGTATTTGTGTACTCACTCTTGTTTAGCTTCTATATTGTCTTTTAACTGATGTAAGCCGCATTGGGTCCTTTTAAGGAGAAAGGCGAGGTAAACATATTTAAAAACAATTAAATAAATAAATAAATACCTGAGCTGATGCAGCTCTCATGCATCATTGGGGGCGGGCGGGTAGGACAGCTTCACAAAGGAGGAAACCCCTTTGCACTGTGGAATGAATGCTTGTGTGCCCACCTTTCAACTGGGAGAACGTCAGACCACAGATTAAGCAGGTGGGGTTACAGGTGGAGTGTCTCCCCGACTTGCAGCAGAAGGGAGCTGAGGGGTTCCAGGTCTGCCCAGGAGAAGAAACAGCGGCCAGTCTGATGGCCCCATGGCTGGTCAGAGACCGGCACCGGATCCTAGGCCAGAAGGTGGGACTGGCCTGCACTGGTGCATAACCTTGCAGCCAAAGCCACCTGGGCCACGTGGCATCTTCATGACTAAAATAATTTATTTGGCAGGAGCTTGTGAGGGTTCAGGGACAATGAGGGCCCAAAGAGGGAGAAGCCCCCACCCTATGCCACCCAACCTCATGGAACTCAACAGGGGCTGCTCCGAAACGTTCCTTGGAGCGGGGAGCGGGGGCTGAATGGTCTGCCTTTTCTCTTGCGTTTGGCTGACTGGTTGGGCGAGCCCCAGCACAGCTGCCTGCTGTGGATGGACAAGCCTTCCCTGGAAAGGGCTGGGCCAGACCCAAGGAGGGCTCCTGTGATCAGTGGGCAGGTGGATCCCCTGCTCTGGTCTCTGTTGGGGGAGGAGGGTCAGGGCAGTTGAGGGAGGGAGGCGGCTGGTCCCATTCCACCGCCAGCTGCTCACCGGGAGGACTCTTGCTTGTATATGTCAATGATGTTCTCCACCAGGAGGTTCCTCTGCAGCCCATAGACGCCGTGCCGGTCCAGCACCACTTCATGCCGGCAGGAGGGGCACCGGAATCGGCCACCGGAGGACACAGAAGTCGATCCGCGGGATTGCCACAGGGGGTTGGAGGCCTGTGGGCGAGACAGAGGAAGCCCGAGAGCTGGCTGGAGACCAGAAGCCTGAGCTCCTCATTTGTCGTTGCCCCAAAGACCTGCAGATGGCACTGAAGCAACCACAGGGAGGTAGCAGAGAGACCCCCCCCAACCCAACCCAGCACCATGCAGACAGCCCAGCACATTCGCGGCCGTTTGAAAGTCTGGAGTGGCTTCCCTCCCCATGGGACGCAGAAGCCACCTCGAAGCGTGGCCTGAACTTCTCTGGCTCCTCTCAGGCCCAAGAGGGCCTCTGGTGGGATCTCAGGCTCTGGGCAGGAACAGACCGGAAAGGGGGGGCCCTTTCAGCTGTTCTGGCATGGAGCCGTTTCAGGTTTGACAGATCAAAACCAGTTGAATTTGGAAGCCAATCAGAATTTGATGGAGTTAGGTCAAGAGTGTGGAGTTACGGGGCTCCTAAAGCCCACAACTGAGGGGAGTCTGCCCCCCCCCATCCTTCACTTAAGCCCTTTTCAAAGGCAGACACGCCTAGAGCAGCAAACAGCAGCCTTAACAGCTGCAGTGTGTGTGTGTGTGTGAGGGGGTGTGGGGGTGTGGGGGGTGATGGCAAAGAAAGGCCACTCTCCCCCTCACCCTGTTGAACAAGGTGTGCAGAGAGTGCCTCTTTGTTTGTGAAGGAGGCCACAGCTGCTCTCTAGGGAGAAAGAGTCTGCCACTTCCGGCCCTCTCCGTCCTGGCCCAGCCCCTGCCCAGGGTCCGATGACCTTTTCCCACACAGGGTCAGCTATTTCAATTAAGGTTTAGGCTTTCCTATCATTGTATTTTCCAAATAGAACATCTTTCTTTTTTCACTTTAAGCTCAGCCTCTGTGGCTCTGCCTGGTTTTACTGCCCCAGGAAGCAGAGAAAACAAAGTGGGTTTGAACGCTTGCAGGAAAGACTGCTACAGCCTTTATAGTCTGTCCACACTGCCCTATAGACTGTTTATATAGCTCGCTGTTGGCACTGTTTAGATGGGGGGGGAGCACCCCATCCACCTGTGTTTCTACTTAGGAAGACCACCCTTCCCCTTTAAAAGCAGCCCCACGCCTCTCTGGCACAGGGCTCAGGCATGCATTCTTTTTGGCAAGACGCAGAGCAGTCCGAAATAGCTCATTGTCTGTGCAGACAGGTACCTTTCAGCAAAACGGCACTGGGGGGCGGCCGGTGTTAACTGCAGTGACAACCCTTGTGACATATTGGGTGGCCCTGAAAGCGAGGGCAGAGAAGCCCCCTCCTCCTCTATCTTCGTTGTCGTCTTCTTTAAAAATATTTCCCTAATCAATGCAGTGAAATTCTAATCCCAGGCCAGGTGAGTTCTTTGCCATTTCAATATGCCACTTCTTTTACTGAACAACACCAACCAAGGGAAGTCGCTCCGGCCTGCGAATGACGGCCAAGAAAGAAGGCAGGGAAGGGGGCGAAGGTGGACTCCTCCTCCTCTATCTTCGTCGTCATCTTCTTTAAAAATATTTCCCTAATCAATGCAGTGAAATTCTAATCCCAGGCCAGGTGAGTTCTTTGCCATTTCAATATGCCACTTCTTTTACTGAACAACACCAACCAAGGGAAGTCGCTCCGGCCTGCGAATGACGGCCAAGAAAGAAGGCAGGGAAGGGGGCGAAGGTGGACTCATAGGAGTTCTGCCCCCACAGGGAAGTCTAAACCCACCAGAGCCCCACCTGAGGAGAAGGGAAGGGGGAACCGGGGGGTGGGTTTACCTCCCTTGCATGGCCCCAACCTTCACCCCCCCACCTTTTCCCCTCATGCTGCAGTTATCCCTGGCTGCAGCCTCTTTACTTATGAGTAAACTGGAGAATTCTTGCTTGGGGTCAGCCTTGCTCTGGATGGAACTGACTCGCACTACAAACTCCAGTGTGAATGGAAGGATCGCTCAGGGGAGAGTTGAAATGGATCCCGCTGAAGAGTAGACCCTTTTAAGCACAGAGAGTGGACTGCATCCCCTTTCCCAGTGTGGACACCCCCTGTTCTACTGAAACCAAATGGGGTTGCCTAGTTGGGGGGGGCTGCCCGTCTAACCTGTGCTGGCTTCCAATTGGCCTCTGGTCTTGGCTCAAGGTGGTGGGCTTGCTCTCGGAGGCCCTCAGCAGCCCGGGGCCCAAGATATTAGGAGAAGGGCCTCCTGCTGCTGCTGCTGCCGGCAGCTGCCTGGCGTCTGAGCCCCTCGGTGGGTGGCAGCAGCAGCAGAAGCCAAAATAAAGGGGGGGGGGAGAGAGAGAGAGAGAGAAAAGACCAAGCTTTTTCTCTTCTGTGGCTGACTCCATCTCAGTGAAGCTTTCCTAAGAAAGGGCCTCATTTGGCTGAAGGGACTGGAGAATTCAGGTGAAAAAAGAATGGCTGGGTAGGTGGAGGGGAGGGGATTGGAGGAGCCCCCTCCTGTCTATAGGACTGAAATGGCCTGCGGGGCGGGGGGGGGAAGGAACTGGCATGCCAGGTCTTTATTCCTCCATTTAGATTTTTGGATAGGGCGGACAGTTTAGCCCTGGGTGTGTAGCCGCTGCCGCCTGTTAACCCTCCCCATCCCCTCCATATGTGGGCAAGGAAAGGACCGCGTTCCGATTAAGGTCTGGAGACCCTAACCAGGCAAACCGTGGGCTGCAGGAGCCTTTCTTTAGATGGGCCCCTAAGACTCAAGGGTGCCTTGCGTGAGGCTTGGCCCCGGTCCTTTTCCTGATGGTTTCCCCAGGTGGTGACATGAGCCCACTTATCGCTTTGGTCACCCCCAACCCTCACTTGCACGGATGACAGGGCCATCCCTTTGAAGGGCTGGAAGAGGCTACCCTGAAGCTTTACTGTGTTTGCCCCCATCTCCCCCCCGGGAATGGGCCCCCCACCCACAAAGCCTCTGAAGTCAGTCCTGGAGAATGAGGAGGAGGAGGAGGCCACACTCATGGCCAGCAGGGGCCTCGCCCTCCGGCCGGGGTCTGGAGGCCGAGGGGCACTGCATGGGCAGAAGCAGATGCCCCTCAGATTCCCCCCCCCAAGCTCTTTGGCCTATGGTGAGCTCCCACACTTAACACACACGTGTGTGTGCGCACCTGGGTGACTAGGAAATCCTGTGAGTACTGGGGGGGGCAGGTGGAGAGTTTGGCCCAGGGGCTTTTGGGCCAAGGGCTACTGAGGCTGCTGTAGGCTCAGTGTGACCCCACACCTGGGTGTCTGCGGTGGTCCAGTGGGGTGCCTTTATGTTGTGGGAGAGTCCAGCAGTGAGCAATTGGGGGGGGGGTCTGGAAGGCAACCTTTGAAGAACAATTTCTTTTGTAGGCTGAGGGGTTTTTTTGGCTCACTGTGGGCTCAAGAACCAGGAAGGGCCAGAGGCGGGTGTCCTGCCCTCAGAATCCTGCAGCGCCCCCAGAACACCAAACACAATACTGTAACAACAACAACAAGAAGAACAACAACACAGAAAGTCTGCTTCTGGTTTGGAAAATCATCCGTGTGTGTGTGTGTGTGTGTGTGTGTGTGTGTGTGTGTGTGTGTGTGTGTGTGTGCATGCGTGCGTGCGTGTGTTAAAAAAGACCAGGGAGCCCCTCCCTCCCCTTTTACAGGTGGAACACACCTCCTCCCCAGTGCAGCCGTGCATTGCTTTCTGAAGGGGTAGGTTTTTGGCAGGTGTGTGTGTGTGTCCTGGGCCTGGCAAGACCTCAAGGAAGCATGTAGCCCACCTGCGGCCAAGGTGTGTAGGCAGCGCGCCCTGGGAGATTGGACAACCCTCCCCAGAGCATCCCTTGAAGGTGTGGCCAGAAGGTGAGGCGGGCAGCTCAGTTGGCAGCACCCGAACCCAGCAACCCGAGTCTCTTCCCCGAGAGCTCCCCACTGGACAGAGACCCCCTCAGCCCTGCCCCACCTTCACCACCGCAGATCTCAGTGTCAAGCTGTGGCCAAGTATGTGCTCAGGATCCCAGCTTCCTTCTTCAACCAGGGCACAAGGGAACGGTGTGAACACACACACACACACACACACACACACACACACACACACACACACACACACACACACACACACACACACACACACACACACCCCGCCACCTGGAGGTCCATGGCCCCTTTATCCCTGGGTGCGACGGCTCCTTTTCCATCTCAAGGGATGTCTGAGCCACTCACCACGGGGGCATCCGTGACCTGAGCCCCCCCCCGGAGACATCACAGGCTGGGGCCCATCCAGACCAGACTGGGCCCCCACTCTCCAGAGGTGGCTCTCGCCCAGTGCGGGAGGGGCCCTTAACGGCTCACCTGGAAGATGTCGTTGGCGCACTTGCGGCAGAGGTTGTGCTGACACGGCAGGATCACGACCGGCTTGGTGAACATCTCCAGGCAGATGGGGCAAATCAGCTGCTTCTCCAGGTTGTCCATGCTCTGCGAGGTCCCCAGCATCGGCTTGAAACCCACGGCAAAGTTCATCCCCGCAGATGCCCTGGCCCTGGCCCGTCCACTGGCTCCGAGGGACTCCAACGGATGACCTCCCTGCACCCCACACGCCCTTCCGCTTCCTCCAAAGGCTTCTTCTGGCCCCCAACACACACACACACACACAGAGACCACCTGTCTGTGTGTCTGCCTGTCCCCAGCTCCTCTCTTTTAACTCTTCACACCTGACTTCTCTCCTTCCTCCCTTGGGGTCTCCCTCCTGCCCAGCCAGACTCTCCCTCCACCACCGCTCAAGAAGCTGCCTCTAGCCCTCGCCCCCTGCCCTGGACCGGCCGGCCGGGATATTTTTAGGCTGTCACATGGACCCTATGGAATCCCAGATGCCATTTTTGTCCCTGCAAAGGGGTGGCGGTGGGGAGGGGGCAAGGCAGCAGCTGTCGCCAGCATCAGGTGACGCTTAGTCATTGTGCTCCAAGAGAGCAATGGCGCTTTCCAACCAGGATTTCTCCCCCCCCCAGCGGTGAGGAGAGGGACCTGGCTGGGCTGGGGGAGTCACTGACAGGCATGCTTTGGGTCCTGAGAACGGCTTCATCCTGGGTGGAACCTGCTGTCTCTTCTTGAGCAAAACACAGAGAAAGCATTCAGAGAAGAAAGTGTGGAGGACGGAGGACGGATGGATGGACGGCGGGGGCTGGATTCCCAGGCCACCGGGATGTCCCCCTCCTGCTGGCTTTGTCATGATCCCCACAGAGCCACTTCCTTGACCCACAACCCTTCTGGAGACACATTCCCTCCCCCACACCACCCCCCGCTGCCCCAATTCCTTCCCAGCAGAACAGAACCACAGCCCTTTCCAACCCACTTCCTCCTCGGTGGCACGGATCCTGCAAAGGCACCCATCTGCCCACCCCAGCTGAGAACCACTGCTACCCCTCTTGCAACTCCCAGGACTGTCCCAGGAGGTCACGTGACATGCACATTCATTCAAAAAGGGGGAAAAGTGAAAACAGGGCAGAGAAGAGGAGCTGGCTGGCTTCCCCTGCAGTGGCCAGCAGATCCTCCTAAT